GTTAAATAAAAATTCTGACAAAAAAATATTTGTAATTTTTCAAATCACAAAAGACAATTTATATTTTAAACAAATATATTTATCTTTTTCGTAAAGTGGCATCACTTTTTCTAATAGATTGAGATTGTTTAATCATATATAACGAAGACCAACAAAAGTAATAATGAAGAGATGAAATACAGTGACGGTAAATGAAAATGTTATGGGAAGTGATAGGCCTAGATTGATATGGACTAGTATAATAAATAGAGATATAAATCTCTTTAATTTGACTAACAAAATGGTCTTGAATAGAGTCAAGCGGAGAAGAATTCATGTAGTCGACCTTACTTGATGAGACTTAAGGCTTGATTTGGTTTAGTTTGGTTTGGTTATAGGAAAACAGTTAAAATTTTTATTTTATTTTGGTTAAATAAAAATTCTGACAAAAAAATATTTGTAATTTTTCAAATCACAAAAGACAATTTATATTTTAAACAAATATATTTATCTTTTTCGTAAAGTGGCATCACTTTTTCTATCACCAGTTATATTCAGGTTCATTTGGTAATATTAAATTTTAACCAAAATATTATAAAATCCATTAAAATAACCCCCCAAAAAAGAGTAAACTATCAATAGATCCTAATAGTTTGACTTCATTCTCATCAAGTCCTATTGAAAATAAATGTTGGTAAAATTGTCACTAAAAATAATTTTTTTGTAACAATTTTTTATATATGTCACTAAAAATTAACAATTAGTGACTTTTTTTGTCATGATTTTTATAAATTGTTGCTAAAACTTACAATTAGTGACTTTTTTTATGACAAATTTTTTCCATATGACCTATTAGACATAAGTCTACTTATTAAGACCTACATGTAAGTACCCAAAAAAAAAAAAAAATCATGTAAAAAAATAAAAGGGATTTCTTTTTTAGGGTCTATAGTATTACGATTTTATAGCATAAAACACATATATTATTTTCATAATGTCTAAGGCCCATCAACATCGATCTAGAAAAAATTCGATCCAAAGAAATTCCTAGAGAATTTCTTCTGAAAAGGCCAGAGAATTTCTCTGGTTTTCGCAAGAATTTCTCTAGGTTCAAATAACAAGGCACTGTAATACTGATTGAAAATCAAAGCTTTAGGGAGCTTCTAAAAAAAAAGTAGAATATTTCAAATTTTACTTTCAAGACAGGTATGAAGATGAATTTGGAGAAAGTAGCCAAGTTAGGGAAGGCCAATAAATGTTAGCAAAGCTAGGCCAAAAGACTAATGGCTCAACACTCCCATCCTCCAAACTGAAAATCACAGTTTCCCATTGATCATATGCCTTAAGTTCATCATATTGATCATAAAAGTTTTCATCATACAAACTGCAACATTCATCCAAAAAGAAAACACAATTATTCCCTTTGCATCAATCGAAATCTGCAACAGAAATAGAGTAGGAGCAATCTGTACCCACCAACAATGGTCTCTCACCCAAATCTGTCACTTCAGCCCATCTGTCCTCTTATTCATTCAGCTTATAAACCTTGAAACGAACAGAGAAATTCAGCGAAATTCTAGAAAGGCCAAAGAAATTCTCTGAATTCCAATCTAGAGATTTTCTCCGGATTTCTAAAAAAATTCTTTGAATTTTCTCTGAATTTCTAAATCGCAAAATATAAGATATTAGGGAAACAAAAAAAAAGTAAAAAATCTATAGCATATCAAACAGTAATAAAAAAATCCAACTTTACATTTTAAATCAATCAAATTTAAAGAAAATATCATCAAAACCAAGAACCAATAAGACAAAAACAGAAATTAAGAACATATGACTATAGGTATGTGTCTACTAGATGATTATATATATATATATATATATGACCTTCTAAGAATTCCATGCATCATGACGACTTAATGATCTTCTAAGAGAGAGAGATCGCTACAACATAAATCACCATCGCCGTCGCAATCAAACCAAATTTGAGCCGCCATCACATCCCTTTTCCCACCATCTTCGCACCCACCAACGCAAGCAGAAGAGAGAGATTGCTACAAAATGAGATTTAAAAACCAAATCTCGTTAATCTTGTTCAGTAACTAGAGATTCAACCAAAGACTTGATAATCGAAGTAAATTGAGGTTTCGTGACGTGAAAGGAGAAAGCGACAGTGGCAGTGACGCAGGGTCACGAAGGCAATAGACTACGGCAAAGAAGAGTTTGGAGAGAGAGAGAGATAATTCTCTGTGATATATGAGTGCCAGGTTGAAAGACCGTAAACATCATATAATAATATTGTGAATATCTTCCATTACTAAAAATAAAAGAGGAACCTTAAACTAATTTTTTCTAAAATAAAAATCCATTTCTATTTCTTTATTTATTTTTTATTTTTTTTCACATTTTTTTTATAAAACGTTAAAAAATTCTATCCCAAACTCTTCAATTTTTTTGCAGCTAAATTTTAAGTGACAAACTAAAAATCCACTTCCCAAACAACCCCCTCAATAACAAAGGATCCAAGTGGATTCGAACCACTATCCTCCCAAACGCATAAGAATAGCATTTGAGCGCTCTTGCCAATTTTTGAGCTAATGGATCCACGACAAAATTCAGATTAACCCATATACAATTAAACTGTAAGTCATTTAAAAAAATACAACAAAGTTAAACTCTCATAACAAAATTAAATTAAATTTTTAATCTTATCAAATTTAAATCCTGCTCTTTTGAATTGTTTTCAATATTAATCATTCACCTATTTTCTTTACAAAAATAAAATATTTTGCAAGAAAATATTTTCTTCCAAATCAAAGGACGATTGAAACCCCAAAAATGTTCAAATCCCTTTACTATTTTACATTTGATTATACATATATATATATATATATATATATAGTCCATTTTTGTTCAGTTTTGAGTAATCAAAGTAGTTTTTGGAGTTTAGCTATTTTAATTTTAATAAGCCTTATTCACACGAACATAACCCAAGCAAATCTAAAAGAATAATATTTGTTAAAAAACATTTGAACAAATTACAAATACTCCCTAAAATTTATTTTAAATACAAATTACCCCTTATAAATCTAAAAATTACATCTCATCTTCCAAGATTCTTTTTATTAATGAATTATCAAGTTAATTAATAATTTTTAATGATATAAAATATGTAATTCCCTTAATAATTTACACAACTTTAATGCTCATTTATTTAAAATACAAATTACCCCTTATAATTCTAAAAATTTCATCTCATCTTTCAAGACTCTTTTTATTAATGAATTATCAAGTTCTTCAATATTTTTTGTATTATATATATAAGAAATTCTCTTAATAATTTAAACAATTTTAACCCTCAATAAGAACAAGTATTTTATTGTTTTTTACATTAACTCTGTTAATTAAAAATTTTAACAAAAGAATAATTATCACCTCGCTTGAATTAAAAAAATTACACCCCTTCATCAGAAAATTAAATTTTTTATTGTTCATATTTCTTATTTTTAATTAAAATTTTAAATATTTCTTACAAATAATTAACACCATAATATTTATGAAAAAATCTTTAAAAAAATTAATCAAATACAAAAATAAATAATTTCAATATATTTTCATTTTCCTATTAAATTTTCTAAATATTTTTTTACAAAAATTTACTTTTTAAGTGGATCTAAATAATGTACATCAAAAAAAAAAAAAAATTACTTTCAAATTTTTTTAAAAAATTGCTAACAACAAAAATACATCCCCAAAAAGCAAATAAAAACCTCAATTTTTAAAAAATCAACCAAAACCATATAATTTCTAAAATCACAAAATAATCCATATTTTAAAAATGAAATAACTTCTTGAATTATTTTGTATCAGTAAATTCTAAAACTAAAAAAAATAAAATAAAATAAAATTTAATTTTTAAAGTGAATCTCACATTGTGTCTGTTTGGTACAGCTTAAAAACTGCTTATTTCAACTTTCAACTTAATTAAACTATTTTGATGTGTTTAACTTAACTTATAACTTTTTAAAAGTTAAAAATCAACTTATTCTTTGAGTGGAGCAGAAGATACTTAATTTATAAATCAGAAATCAGCTTATGTTCATAGTTATAAGTTATAAACTGTTTAGACATAATCTATAAGCACCTTCCCACAGCTCTACCAAACAAGGCCATTACGTGAAACTTAAGTCCAAAATTAAAACTAAAATTTTATGAAAATAAAAAAAAAAAAATCACTAAAACCAAAAACTGACAACAAAAACTTCAGTTTGATTGTCCAAATACTGTTACGCTAACATTGTGCTTTTAAAAACTTTTTATATTTAAAACAATTTTTTCTACTTTTGTTTGATTTTTAATAATTTTTTCTATTTTAATTTTTTAAAACATATCTAAATTAGCTACATCAAAATAAATAAATTTAAATTTCAAATACCCCTTAAATTTGCTTAAAATACACTTTATCCCTCATAATTAAAAAAATTACATCCCACCCTTGAAATTTCTAATTTTATAACAAAACCCGTACTATTATTAATAAATCAAGTCAATTAACAACTATATTTATGCCAAAAATTATTTTCATTAATAATTCAAGTAGGGTTAATCATTATATAAAAAAACAGCTAAAGAATAAAATTTACAATTAATTTTGATAAATAAAAAATTCTTACAAAATAATATTTATAATTTTACAAATCACAAAGGCAACTCAATACTTTAAGTAAACTTCAAATGTTGTAATTATAATTTAGACAACAAAATATGAAAAAATATCACTAAAAACAAAACCATCTCAAAATAATTTTTTATGGTTTCAATTGTCACCATCTGTCACTCTGGACAGTTGTTAATTTTGTTTTAAAAGCAATAAAAGTAACTCACTTTCCCCTTTCTTTTCTTTCAAAAAAAGCAAAATAAAATTTAAATTTAATTTAAAAAGGCTAAAAATATAAAATTGCGGCACTAACCACAATAGCTTCAACAGCCAGCTGCAAAACTAAATAAAATGATAATGTTCTCACTGAATAAAATGATAACGTTCTCATTAGTTAATAAATAAATTACTAAAAAGTGAGCAATTCTCACACCTCACTTGAGGTCAACGACGATAAATAAAATAACAGAGTTAGATAAATAAAATAATAGAGTTCCACCCGATTTCATCAAAACATCATTGAAGAACATCACCAACAGTTGAACAAAATTTTCATCAAATTTGGGTTAAAAAAAAAAAATTGGCTCAATCTGATATCAATCACTCCTATGTACTGTAGCTTTTATCAAAACGTACCAAACGTCCAGGTGGACGACCGGCCGGTCGACCAAAAAGAGCAAAATCTGTACAATTCTGTCATTGAATTTTCAAGCTTGAGGATCATCCAAAGGGCCGACTGCGTGGTTGACCTCCCAGTGTAAAATCAATAAAAAAATTTATGCAAAATTAATCATCCGAGATCATGCAGTAGTAAAAATACAACGGTAATGAATAATTTTTGGTGAAAGACCCAACGCATTCTCAATTTAGTAAAATTTTTGCTTAATTCTCAATTTTGAAATCAGTTTGGTGAAACCATTGAAAGAAAAAAAAAATGACTTTCATCAAATTTCAAATCTGATGCACAATTTGATGCACCATTAGAGATGGCATCACACAACAAATAGTTTTCACCAAAAAATGATTCATAAGGCCATCTCCAAAAAATATTCATAAAGCAACATCTCCAACCGTGTACCATATCCTCCACCAAATTCAAATTTGGCAAAAAGTAACCATTTTTTCTACTCTAATGATTTCATAAAACAAATATCAAAATGAAAAAATCAAAAATATTTCACCAAACTAAAGATGGTCGAATGTCTCCTATGACCACCTCAAAACAAAATTTTGTAAAAATTTCACTAACGGGTCATCCATCCAATCATCAAGTGATTTGATGAAAAACCAAAACTCTCCGTTGAAACAAGTGCTGTCAAAAAATACTTTTACTCAAATTTGATAAAAATTTTGACGCATCATTGGAGATGCTCTCAAACTGACAATATTATTTGTAGAAAAATTCGTATAGAGAAATAAAGACTATGCTTGGTTATGTTTGCCAAACACATTTCCACCCACTTTCACGGGTGTTGCGCTTGTTTTTCAATTTTCAAATTATAACTCCTCACCCACTTTTAAAAACTCCTTTCCAAGTAGACAAATTTGACTAACCCGATCGTCTTCCCAAACGTCCGATCGATTGACCAAAACAATATTCATTTTTTTTTTTTTGACACCTGCTATTATTTTTATATCGTAAATAAAAAGTATTTTTCAAATTTTTTAAATTTTTATAAATTTTGAATAGAATTATAAATTGTGTTCTGTTATGAATTATAAATTTTTAAATCAAATAACTTTCCTAATTTTAAAAACTCAAAACACCCTCCAAAACTTTCAAAAATTATAACCAAACTACTATCACTCAAATCATATTTTCAAAACTCACAAATTCAAAATACAATTTTATTCTCAAACCATATTTAAAAAATTCTACAAATAAAAACCAAAGAAAAAAAAGAAAACCAATTAACTAGAAACCTACCCCTTTTTCTCTTCACAAATACCTACGCATATTTTTATCCAAAACAGTTACAAAGACTAGACAGATTCCTAATTCCTATAGAGTAAAGAAATACCTTATTGTGGCATTGCAACACCTTAGCAAACATGGCGTGTCAGAAGCAAACTCTAGAAATCTATCTCACACGTTAGATGACCCAACAACACTTCCAACTCAAGCCTCCTGGGGATCAGCACCACAACATATTAAGTAAATACAACAAATGGCAAACACAAGCAGATATCCAATGCTGAACTGCACACTTTACTTCCTACAATGCATTTGGGGCCGCACCCTAGGGTAAAATAAAATATAAAAATCATTATGGTAAAAATTGCAATTTGCAATGTTAGATAATAACTGTCCAGCTAGTTTAGTGTATAAAGGAAACTACAAGCAATTTATTCTCTACAATCAATGTGACAATTTTCAACAACAGAGTTCACACATACCCTCAAGAAACACTAGTATAAAGGACTCCAACATCTGCCAAAAAAATAAAAAAGTTAACACCACAAAATCTACACATGAAGAATCAAGATTTGAATTAGACATGCTCTACCCCAAAATCAGAACCAATACAATTCAAATACTGTCACATTAGCTACAAAAACTAAGCAGCATCAAGAAATAGCAAAAAAAATTATGAGATCACCACAAAATAAAGTAATGTCTCCTCTCGCACCAACATGACCAAAAAAAATTCTTTTCTGCAATGCATGAATTTATTCCTTCAAATGATCAAAGCCGCTAAAATTCATCCTCTCCAGCTAGCAGAGAGGAATCAAGAGTCTTTACTCTGCTGCAACGCTGAAACAAAATCCATGAACCTACATCTGAGATTTAAAGTCACAACATGCAGCCACCACCAACCCTTGAGCTTCATACTGGTTTACAATTGACATTTTGACTAAATTACAATTACCCATAAGGGACCAACCCTCCAAACCACCACATATTCCAACCCAAACCCTAACCAAAAACACAAATATAAACCAGCCCATACACATCATCACAGTACAACTGAACCTCTCTAAAATTACATTATGTGCACAATTACACTATCTAAACCAACAATCTTTGACATTAGAACCATCTACAATATTAGTGTACTTACAATGGGGTCATTCTAGAATCCAAAGCCTTACCATATGTACAGTTTTTATATTGATTACCATAGATGCCATAATTAAATCATTTTTAATCATAACTTCAGAAAAATAATGTCACAACCAAACACCACATAAAAATATATCCAAAGTCATTTTCTATTATAACCAAAATAATGATCATTATAAGTCACAACCAACAAAATAATAATCACAATGGAAGTGTCTAATCATCGCCAATCATCTCTTCCACACATCGACCCCGTTTGGTAGAGCTGTGAAAAAGTAATTATAACTTATAACCTAACAACTTATAACTTATAACTGTAAACATAAGCTGATTTTTTACTTATAAATTAAACTTCTCCTCCCCCTCAAAAAATAAGTTAATTTTTGACTTACAAAAAACTATAAACTGTATTATTAAGTTGAACCAAACACATCAAAATAGCTTAAATTAAACTAAAAACTAAAATAAACTGAAAATAAACTCTACCAAACAGGGGCATCATTGCATCTAAAAAATAAGTCTAAAAAATAAGCTTGTATATCATTTTCCTAATCAAAATAGATCATAAACACCCGTCATGACCAAGTCATAACATAGGAATTAACCAAAAGACCACAAAATCATAATTAGGCATATAGTGTACTATAAAATTTTCTTTTCAACTAATCAACAATTTTAGGAGGATGTTAGATGTTACATGGATTTTATAATTGAAAAATGTAAACCATAAAGAACTTTGTAAGCAGAAATTTACTCATTGATTAAATTTTGAAAATAAAGATTAGCTTTCCGGGCCACGTTGAGTGCTGCTTTTGAAATGAGGCTAATGAGACGGTAGATTCAGACATGCTCGAATTTAGTGCTGATTTTATGCAATAAGCTTAATTAATTAAAACGGAAATTTCATTTCAGGGGGTTTTTCAAAAACTGAACTTCATAAATATTAATAATTAAAAATATAAACTTTCATAAATCTGTAATAATTTAGTGAAACTACCACTGATGCATAATTTCCCCTAATTAAAATGCTCAAAATGCAATAATTAGTGCCAAAATAAATTAAAGGAAATTGTTTGTTTGTACCTCTTGGACTGAATAGTCATGATGTACTAATCCCATCCTTGCGTTTGCTTGCTTGATGAATAAAAATAGTTGGCGTGTTGATGTCCCTATTTGTTTCGAATCGATGTAAAATCAACCATTCGAGAGACAAATAAAGACACGATGAACAACTGATTGGATTGGAGAGAGAATTGGGGAGGACAAAATCAAGAGAAAAAAAAAGACGCAACACACAAGAAGGGGAGAGCCGGGCAAAACCCCGTACCATCTCCCCCTCAAACACAAAACAAACTTTTTATTAGGGTTTTTTTGACCTGCCAAGCAAGCGCACCTGACATGGCAAAGGTCGATTGACAACCAGTAGAGCATTACACATCTCACATTTTTTTGTTACCCTAGGCTATGCCCCTCTCGTACACACCGAAAACACACACACATAAACTATCTTCTTTATTATACCAAGAAGATGACAAAAGAAAGCACATCAAAAAAAGCATAAAGAAACACTTTAGCAATCCTTCACAGCTTCATATCAAAATCCGATCTGAATCCATAAAGAATCACGAGATCTGAATTGATTGCACCGATTTAACCAAGCGTTTTAGGTCTGAAAATGAACACAAAAAGTTAAAAAATTAATAGATCTGAACCCAAGAATTACGATACATACGAAATTGTCAAAGGCTGTAAATACACACCTCAAGAATTTCAGAAGGACAGCAAGGTTTCGCATCGAACCAGACGAACAAAGCCCGAGCACTAATGGTTCAGAACAAACATCAAGAACCTTCAAGAAATGGAGGAGAAAACTTAATTACGTGCAAAAAAGGGGATGAAGAACAAGATATTAATCTATTAACAACAAATCTACTACGTACCTCGATAGATCTTTCGATTTCCAGTCAATTCACCCTTGGCCGAAGAAAGGATGAGTCTTGAACCACATATCTCTGAATCGAAGATCGGAAGCGAATCGCTCAACGAAAACACTCGAATCCATAATCAAAACGCAGATCGTCGAACGAATTCAAAGTTGAGAAATCAAGGAGAAGAGATATAACGAAAAAGGGGTAATGGAATTTGACGGTGAGAGCGAAGCATTGAGAAGGGGGTGTGATTTATTAATTGTCCAGAACGATCCAACGGCTGTCAATGAATGATCGACGGCTCTCGTGATTTTTATATGAGAAGATTCTCGATTTCCTTCGACTTGGACGAGATAAGCTTGCCACGTGTTTCATCGTGGCTCACATAGCAACTCGTTTAAAATGTGAAATGATAAATAAAGGCAGGCAGTGTTTGAACTTTTTTCAAAGTTAATTCTATTCTTTTATTTGTGTTTCAGGCGACGCTTCTCACCCATTCGAAATTTTAATGAGAATTCATAATCTCCGTTTGGCAAGTTAGTTTGGAGGATTTTTAGATTAAAATAGTTATAAAAAATAAAATAATTTTTTTAAATTAATAAGATTAAACATTACATTCAATTTATAATTATTACATTCATTCTCTCATAAAAAGTCAAAAATTCTTCCCAAATTAAACTTTTTAGCCTCAAATTAAAATAGTCAAAAAAATCAAAAAGCCAATCCACTTCTCAAACAGAAGCATAATCATCTTATTTCGGTAACTTGAACTAAAATACAACGTTAATACTCCCAGCATAAATGAGGAGAAAAAAGAAATATATATATATATATATACGCTTTGTGAATTAATTTAACATATCTGTTACAGACGTTATTTGAATCAAGTATTTTCATTTCAAAATCATACATGAGATTTTCATCTCATACGATTCTTTCCACGATACCAAATGTAATATAAATACTTTTTAAAAAAACAAAATCAAAACAAAATTTAAATGTTCCTCGTAAGAAAAAAATATGAGAGAGAGAGAAAAAAAAAATATGAGAGAGAGAGAGAGAATCAAACAACTTCAATAGACAAAGGAAAAATCCAAGACCCAAAACTCTCAAAAACTCAAGACAACATCCCCCACCCTGTGTTTCCATACGAAGATGATGTCTGCAATCTAATACCTACTATTGTTGCTTGCATTTTGGTGGATGCTCATTCTGCTGACCTTCCTTAGGTAGTGCTCTCATACTCTTCTGTAATTCACAGCAAACCAGATGTTATCCAAAGCACACACCATTGAAGATCCTTACATTTTGTACAGAGTAAAAAATAAATTACATAGTTGTATCGTCTCTCATCTTTGGTCCAGATGACTGCTAGAAAATCCCAATCACATGGCCAACAGAAAAATAGGGAAATAAAGTATTAATATGTTCAGAAATTGAAAATTAACAGTGGTAAGGAGGAGACATTGGCTTTTGCTTAAAATTTTGTAAGAGTTACTTTCTTCGTGCTGGTTTTGTCCTTATTCTCATCTTCGTCTATGTCTTCATCATTATCCTCATCTTTATCTTCATTTTCTTCTTCATCATTATCATCTTCATCGTCGTCATCGTTATCCACATCTTCCAAGTCATCCCCTTGAATTGCCTCCTTCGTAAACCATGAGACAACATGGGGGATAATTTTGTTCCGAATAGTTGAACTACATATATCAACACAAATCAAATTACCTTTCTTGATATAAGCTGTAAAAAATTACCTGTCACGACCTCATTCCGCCCCTAATAGAATGATGTCGTGATGGCCAGTAATCTTAGATTACCAAAGGCCAACTTACAAATATTCACACATACAAAGTATACATATGAGGCATACATGTACGGAAATAATAAATTTAAATCTAATTAGTCCATAAGAGTTGTGCATAGGTTAAAGGAAATGGCATACATTGAGATACATAAAATATTAACATAGTTTTACAACTTGGATACAAACAAGATAATAAGTTTGTACACAAACATCCACATGTTACATCTTGATCATAAAGCTTCTCGAGCCAAAACCTACAAAAGAAAAAATCTACAAAACTAAGAAGCATAATATTCAAGATGAATACAAAACATGAAACTAAACACATATTCCACCAACCTATCGTCTTCTTGCTCATCATCTACATATATATAAGGGAGAGGGGTGAGTTAAAAACTCGACGAATAATATGAGTAATAAAGGTTGGAATGAATGATATCCGAGATTTTTATTAAAACAATACGCATCATAACTTGTAACAAAATCAAAGGATGATCCAAGTTCATCAATCAAAGGTTTTCAAAGCTTCAAATGGTGTTTACTAACATCTACATAATACAAATACTGAACATTCATTGACAAAACAAAGGAATAATCGACTCGGAATCGATTAGACAAATCCACCCGTCTGTGGCAAATGAGATATCTCAAATAAAGGTACTAGTTGTATTAAAGTCCTCTAGCACACAAGGACCTTTCAAGAATGTCATCAAAACAAACATAATACTTGATACAAAAACTAAGGGATAATCATTCATGCTTAATCAAATACTTTTCCAAAATAAAGTAAAGTTTTTATCCAAAACAGTATAATATAACTTTATTAAAAATATCACTCACAATAGCTCTTCGGTCGAGGGAAAATAAGGCAAAGATCCAATACCTACAAATACATGGTAGATCCCGTCAAATGCACTTCAAGAAAACAAGAAGAAATGCTCAAAGATGATTATGTAATACACTCTCAAAACAAGCTTCAAATGAGTAAAATAGATCTTGGTATTCTTTCCAAAACCAAGTCAAAACAAAGCAAAACATGTTCTGGAATTTAAATAAATGTTTTTCTTCTAAGAAAAGCATGTTGGGTACAAAGTAGGTCTAGGAGAGGATGCACAGAGAGAAGCTGGGTTGAAATGGCCTAGCTGAGTGAAGTTAGGAGATCATGGCCGAGGTATGGTCTCCTTGGCCAAGATGTGGGCCACTCGCCCAAAATGTAACAAGGTGGTCAGCAAAGTTGTGATGTGGTCTGCCTAGGTGTAGACCAAGGTACAAGTGATCATGCAAGGCAGGCCAAGGTGAGATACAATGCTTGGCCTAGGTATGGAAGCTGGACAAGAATGAATCTCGATGACCACACTTAGAGAATAATGAAATTTGAAAATGTGGGTTTCCTCTTGAAGATCATGAAGAACATGAACATAAAGAACATAAATGCTAAAATTATCACTTCTTATTCAAAATCTAAGATTTCATGATATGAGTTTGAAAACATGGACCTGGGTACCCATACTTGAAGATTTCATGAAAATAAACACAAAAGCATAGAACTTGTTACAAACTTTTGGATCAAAACATGATTTTTCTTCAAGAACATAAGAACATCACTTTGTCTCTCTAAAACAAAACTTTAAATCAATGCATGGCTCATGAATCATGCTAGATCATGCAATGTGATCAAATTGTCATAAAGAACAACAAAAGCAGATCAATAATCTAACTTCAAAACGCCAATCAAAGTTCAAAGTCTAATAATCAAGCTTGGAAAATCTAACTGCTTCTTTTTCCTAGAGCTGCTCTCTCTGCAAGACAAAGACATGGCAAATGATATAGGTTTCTCAACTGCTAGCTGACTAATACCCGCTACTGGGACACGTGGAATAAAAGGACAAGAGTAGGTCAAAGTGTATACAACAAGTAAGGTGGCATGGGTACACTGACAAGGCAAGGATCCGGGATCAAAACATAGGCTTCGGACAAGTGAATAATAGGTGAAGTCTTCCTGATCTTGGCTAAGAGGGGTAATACTTGGCCTAGGCGTGACACACCTCGGCCTAGGTTGTACAAGACATGGAATAAAGTTGCTAGGTGTTGGCTAAGGTGCACAACAAAACAAGAAAGTGCCCAACACGGTTGCAAGGTTCAAGGATCAAGGATCTCGAATTCCTAGGTGATGCACACATCAGCCTAAGTGATACACACTTCGGCTAAGGCGCGAGGGTGGAGGTGGAGGTCAACCAAGATGGTTCCAAGATGGCCCTACGTGTTATCGCTCAACGGCTTAGGTATAAGAGGTTCAAAGATGTGATCTAGGTGTGAGGTAGAAAATGTAGATAGCCTAGGTCCAACACACAAATCATGGAACAAAATATGGATCTTATACTTAAGCAAAATACAATAGCATCAAAACAAGACAAGATCCCACACTTAGACAAAATATCAAAGTTTATAAAATGCAAGCTTAACAAACCAAAATCATATAAATTCTCCTGAATATGACTAAGGCAAAAATGAGGGTTGTTATAGTGCCTCCATACACAATTAGATGTGAGTTCACATAACTGCATTCTTTATATAATCTAGAACTAATTCGTACAACTTCCCAATTCTTAAAATAAGGGCACATTTAATCATTGTATGCAATATCCAGAACTGAAAAGTGAAAATGCAATGGTTGACTCGCCCAATGTCATAGTCTTGCTCCATTTGGTTATGAAGTTCTTCCGCCTATTAATCAATAGTACAAACAAATTAGAAGAGAACCCAAATTATAATTCATAATGGCGTCAACAAGTATTTTGACATGTATAAAGTTCATAAACGTATAGTATCTTCACCAATATCATCTTTATCCTCAGGAACTTCGAAGAGGCTGAAGAAGGTGAAGAAACTTTCACATTTTTTAGTCTTTGTAATAGGTTTAGCATTCTTAGACCGATTCTTTGGCTTTTTCTTAAGGATCTTTCTGAGTCAAGCATTTATTAGGAAGCAAGCTATATGAAACTTGTGTAGAATATTTGTGTTTTATCCAAAAGATCAATTTGATAAGAATCTGTATGTGAATTTTAAAGCAAAATTCAGTTTCTAACTACTTTCAAACATAATTTACAAAAGATCCAATTACTAGTTCATTCATTCATTAGAGCCGATTTTTTTGGTGAAAATTAACTCGCAAAATTCATTCTAAAGTTATTAAATTTATTTCTCAACTAATCACTTGAAAGAGAGAACTCAAGTGTGGATCTTATACTTGCTTTTGACTAGAACTTGCTTAGTTGCGACCATATTGATATATTATTATGGGATTTGAGACATTTTTCATCCACACATTCCAAAAAGCAATAATAGCAAAAATCTGACATCTTAACAATTCAATATCTTAGTGTGCATAAGCTGAAATAGCAAAAATCTTTAGCTTAACATGCTAACAATCAACGTATGCATGTTTTACTATAAAAATGTAAGTTTCAAATTGTAGAC